CTTATTGGCCATTTGAAATCTTCTTTGGAGAAATGTATATTCAAGCTCTTTGCCCATTTTTGTCTTTTTTTTTGTTATTGACTTTTCATTCTCTGTGTATTCTGGATATTAATCCCTTTTCAGATGTGTGATTTGCAAATATTTTCTCCCATTCTGTGGGTTGCCTTTTTACTCTGTTGATACTGTTTTTTGATGCACAAAAATATAATTTTCATAAAGTCCAGTTTGTCTATATATTCTTTTGTTGCCTGCACCTTTGACATCATATCCAAAAATCATTGCAGAATCCAATGTTGTGAAGTTTTTGCCCTATGTTTTCTTCTACATGTTTTATTATTTTAGGTCAAAGAATCCATTTTGAGTTAATTTTTGTATTTGGTGTTAGGTAAGAGTCCAACTTCATTTTTTGCATGTGATATTCAGTGTGATATTGGATATTCAGTTTTCCCAGTATCATTTGTTGAAAGGACAATCTTTTCCCCATTGAATGGTCTTTGTACCTTTGTCAAAAATCATTTAACCATATATACAAAAGTTTATATTTGGAAGAGTACATGACATTTTATAGGATACAAAGATAAATAAGAGTACAGACCATGCTAACACACTAGAGTTGGTCATAGGGAGACTGTTAGAATGGAATTGGATCTCGTTTTTGTTTTAGAGAAAAAGGGGAGGGTAAATTTAATTTAAAGGAAAGTAGAATAGGTGACTTAAAAGGAGTTCATGTCAGAATTATAGACCTTTAGACCTGTTTCCTTTCCTAATTCATCTAGTTCACATCCTTATTTTTATATATGAAGAAAAAGATTCCTGATACACTTTTGAGGTCAGAATTACAAAAAAACTATAGACATATAGAAGAAGATTTTAAGTCAGAGAAGAAAGAACTTCTAACATCTAGGACAGATCTGGGGAGGAATGAGCTATCTATTACTACAAATATTCAAACAGAAGTTGGATGACCACTTGTAAGTTTTGCTGTAGAAGGCAGGTCTGATAAACTATCTATCTTGCTTGCAAATGTTCTGCGACTGCCCATTAACTTTTGAATAAAGGCCAGCTTTTAGAAATGGCATACTTGGCTCTTATGATGTGGTCCTTGGCTACCTTTGTAGTATCAGATCCTGCCATGTATGTATGATCTTGACATATGCAACTGTATGAACTGTAATGTCTTTTTTACCCTCAGATTTTATTCACATTTATAAATCCACCTTAGTTCCTCAAGGAACTAAGCTAAAGTGTATGGCTATAATTTAAAATCCCACACATAGAATCCTCAGGACAAATTAAATAGAATCAATGAGTAGCAAGCACACATGCGCTAAGGTGAGCCTAAGGGCACACGAAATCCAACCTGGGGCAGATGAGAAAAAACTCACTTTCCAGGAGAAAAGGAAGTAATTTTTATTGAATGTTTATTATGTTATAGGCATTAACATATTTTAGTTTGTTTAAGAATGCAAAATTTCAGAAAAAAACATCCTTTACACTATCCTTGAGGTGAGTACATACCTTAGGTGCTTTGGTATTATGTACTATTTGTAAGAATCACAAAAATGTTAAACTTTGAACATGTCTGCTTATTAACAACATTGGGTATCAGTCAGCAACCATTTTCTAGGTGCTTTCTATGTGTCAGGATTATGCTGGTTTCTGGGAATACAAAGGTGAAGAAAACATGGTAAGGACCACATCATGAGGGTGGATGCACTCTTTTTGACTTGAGTTCATCATCAGCTAGTGTCTACAGAAGGTTACCAACCACTGTAATCTCTCTCCTTGAAAAAAATCAAGGTATATGGGGGAAAAAGAAGGCTAAGAAAAAAATCTTTAGCAGATCTGGTCATATCTCTTACCTGCTTACAAATGCTCAGCAACTCCCCATTAACTACAGGATAAAGCCTGCTTTTTTTTACATGGCCCCTTACAATTTGTTCTCTTTATAATCTACCAGCATATCTACTTGGTTTGAATACACTTATCTCTGAGATACACTTCTTGTTCTGATTTAATTTACCCATCACATCATCTTTTTATCCAATATGATTATTTTTGGACTAGGTTCTCCTATCACCTAGGAAGATAATAGAATATGGATACTGATTCATTGTGAAATTTTATTTCCCATTATATATGATGAGATAAGATTTTTGCTGCAAGTAATTTTCACCTGAGTTTGGATGAAATTGAGTTCTTAGAACTTTGGACTGAAAGGCTAAATTTGGAGACTCAATCACAATCATGAGGTCTTTCTTGCAAGTATCAGATATAAGTCCTCAGTGCATTTTTACAAAGTAGTCAGACACTTGCCATTTTCACAGTAAGCTGTTTGTGATTCCATGGAAAGAACTGAGTCACACAGGACTAGTATTCTAATCCTGACTGTGACTTACTGTATGACCCTGGCCACAACTTAAGCCTCTCATGTCCCAAGTTTCTTCATTCTTTATGTAGAAATAATACTTGATCTATGCATAATTTGTTGTGATGATAACATTATAGTTGCTAAAATTTTCAGCTCAACAGGTAGATGGTATAAGAAGTACAAATATAAATATTTGTGCTCAAGTTTATAATCTAATTGGGTCAGATTTGTAAAAGTAATATGTTGGGATTCAGAGAATGGAGTTTTCACTTTCAATGGAGGGAGTGATCAGGAAGATTTAATAGACGGAAAAGTTGAGCTGGGTCAGGAAGGCTGGTAGAAGAAAGTTAGCTGGAAGGGTAACTGCAGAGGGGCACTGGGATTCTCAGTCTGGCCCTGGCTTTTGCTTCCAGATGCATTATCTTCCGCATACTCCAGACTAAATCATGTTCTCTGAGGTGCATACGTGTGTCTGGCACATAGCAGGGATGCCTCCAAGGTCTAGCTTCTACCACTTTCATTAAAGCCTCACCCAAGTGGAATTTATTACACTCCTCTGTATTAGCTCAGCCTTTGTTCAAATGACCTATTGCTTTTATTGTATCTCAATAGAACCATTTTCCTTGCTCAATAGTGATTTTTCTTAGACAGGGATCTGGTTTGCCTTTGTACCCCTATGCCCCTAACTCAATGGTTTGCTCTTAAATAATCAGGACATTTTATTCAACTGGACTTGCTCCAGGGACATTGATATCACACGTTGGTATCATCTTAATGTCTCCATAAGCTTTAACTTTTGTGCACTATTATTTCCCTTACACCATCTTGTGAAGTAGGTTTTTTTACTTTAAAAACTTATAGATGAGGAAACTCAGAGAGTGCATTTGCCCAAAGTCATGCAGCTAAGTGTCGAAACCAGGCAATGCTCTTTTAACTTGAAATCCACTACTCCATGCATTATACTGGGTCCCTGTGGCATCAGACAAGTAGGAGTAAAATGCACTTATGCTCAGAGCTCTAGTTTTCTCATTTGTAAATGGGAATAGTTCCGATTTTATGGGATTATGAGGATCTTTAAATGATGAAATATGTGAAGTCCCTGTGAAAGTTCTTAGCACTTAGTGGGCAATGCTTGGTTCCTTCTCATCAAGCTTCTGATTCATGTGGACATAAACAAATGAAGTATCCAGTTCTGGGGTGTAGTGGGAAGTATATGGATTATAAGGACAGGAATGCCCTTCTCTAACCTCTTATAGGTTGTCTCTGAGTCATATTAGAAAATATATAAGGCAATATCTTAAGGTAAATACTTAAATATGGTAAATACTTAAGATTTAGCATGCCTCCTCCCCACCCTGCATCCTTATTATATCCTTTTCCTGTCTAGAACTTTTCAAATGCAAAGACCCTTATTTGTATGAATTGTCCAGCTTTGAGGCCAGAGATTGGTTGAATAAAATCTCCAAGGCTGGGGTCTTAAACTAACCAAACCACAAGTTTTCTCGGATTGTGACTTAAAATAACCATGTGACGGGACCTGACATATTAAAATCAAGGGCCGTGGGGAACGGGAGCCCATGGATGGTAGTTGAGTCCAATCACCGGTAAATTAGTGATTTCTAAAATCTCTTTTCTGGGGAAGTGCTCTTGGATTTCTCTGCTGAACTCCTTAACTCCTAAGTTAGCTGCATTTAAAAATGAAAACGATTTCAGCTTTGGTCTGCTTGTGGTGAATAGGTGGAAGGGTCAAAGTCGAGTCTTCCTCTGCCTAGGTACCCGCCGCTACTCAAATGCCCGCGCTAGCTCCTAAGGGTACGCGAAGGCCCGGGATGGGCCTGTAGGTGAGCCAGGCGAGAGGGTGCACGTCCAAGGCTGGGGGTTTCTTTCCTCAGAAGGGAAACGCTCTCTGAGAGAGACCCGGAGGTGGCTTTTGGGCCCTTCTTTCCCCTCAGGGCCTCAGTAGGGCGGTGCGCAGCCCAGGAGCTAGACCTGTGCAGAGAGCTGCGTGCCAGTGCCAGAGACCCCCGCCTCCCTTTGCGCGCCCGACTTCCTCGAGCCTCTCCCCGTGGGGCCCCAGCGGGGCGCCAGACCTACGGACCCTCGCTCACTGGCCCCGCCCCTCCCAGCGAGGCTTTGGTGACTTCGACTCTCCCTTTACTTTAGGGAGCCCTGCCCCCTCCTCGCGGGCTAAAGACTGTTCTCCCTTGCCCACCCCTTCCCTCACGTTAAGTGTGCGTGCACAGTGCACAGCCTTCTCACCTCGACCCCAGCCCCATTGTTTCTGGACGTCTCTACCAGCCTCGAACGTAGCCCCTCCCCCCATTGGCGTTTACTACCCCATCCGGATTTAACTGGTGCACAGAGACCCCCAGAACCAAAGGAGGGGGCACCCTTGAAGCCTTTCTCCTGTCTTTTCAAGGGTCTCCCCAGCTTCGTTCTTCTGTCCCACCCCAGGGTAGGACTCCATTCGGGGTTCATTCTCTCTCTGTCTCACTCGCTCTCTCTTCCCTCCCCCATTCCCCCAGCTCTTCATCTGTAGCCCCCTCCTTACGGCGGGCCCACCTCTTTCTCTCCCTTTCCCTCCTCCCCTTCCCCTCCCCCTTTACTCCCCTCCCCCCCCACAATGCAGTTCGCGGCGCGGCGGACATGGCGGTGGAGTTCTGAGCTCGTCGTGTCCCGGCCTCCAGTGGCGGCAGCGACAGCGGCAGCGACGGCAGCGACGGCAGCCGCAGCGGGAGGCGGAGGCGGAGCGGGAGCCATTGAGATGAGGAGGCGCCGCGCGCGCCTGTAGCTCGCAGGTACGGAGGTTCCGGCCCCTGCGAAGCACCCAGCGCCAAGGGGGTGTGCTCGGCAAAGGCCGGGCCACCCCCTGTTCACCCTCAGGTGCCGCGCCTCGCAGGTGTCCGTGGGCCAGCCGGAGTGCGTCTCAGCCACTCCCTGTGGGCCTGACACATTTTCTGTGCAGGAGTGGGCTTCGGGTATTCAGCGGAAGGCAGGGATTAGGGAGGTAGGGGCGGCGGCCTGGGCGGCCTGAGCGGCCTGAGCAGGACATTGGGGCGCTTAAGGGCCGAACTCCGCTGAGAGGCTGGGGCTCTCCGAAACCTGTAGACCTGGGAGGTGGATTTTGAATTAATGGAACTGGCGTGAGTTTTCTCTTGGATCCAGTACAATTCCCTGTCTGGTGTGCCTTTTCTTTCATTCCCTGCTTAGTTATAGACGAACATATATAACAAATATACACGCGCATATAATACATCATAAATATTTTCTCTGGGCTCGCCCCTGTTAGAGAAGGCAGAAGTGTATGTGGATTTCATTTCTTGCTTGCCCGCCTTCTCTCTCCCCGCCCCCCAGTGGAATGGTGATAATGAACGCTTTTGACGTGGGAAACTGTGAGATTCTTATTTGTAAACAGTCCTCACCGAGTATGTTGCACGCCTCTATGAGAGGTTTCAGGTCCTTTGGATATCCGGATTGCAAAGAGTGAGATATTTAAATCCGAAAGAAGCACATTAGCGGGACTTAAGTTCGTGCCTGAATGGGATGAATTACTGTTATTTTAACAACGTTGATTAAACATTTTCTTTTCAGATTTTTATCAAATCTTTAATCAGATGAATTATGTACCTTGCACAAGATCTTAGTTTCGGTATACCATGTTTCTTCATTCTCATTCAAATATTTTGATGTTCACTCCTTTTGTAATCTTTTTAGTGTCCAGAAATGCAGTTCGAATTGTGTATTGTTGGCATCCAGTAATTAGTTAGCTAGAGTGGATCAAATTACCTTTTGTTTCCAAAGATTACCCCCCCCCCCCCCCCCCCCACCGCTCGAGTCTTCTAGTTGTGAAATGTGTAATACTTGGTGGAACAGAACATACCCTGTTTTTTAAAAAAAGTAATGAGAACTATTAGGTAATAAAATTGTATAATACCTATTGGATATGATTTAGAGAGAATGCCATACCAGTGTGGTGAATTGTGGGATGGTTTTTTTTTAAAAGTTGACTTTGTTTTTTGTTAGTATCAGTCAGTATGTTCTGAATTTAAGTCAGTTGTATGGCGAAATTTTCTTCAGGCTCAGAACCCTTGTATGTCTCCTTAGATATTGCTGCACTACACTCATCCCAGTGCTGATTAGCCACAACTTGTAAAATTATGAAATATGGATTCATTTAGAAAGCTGTGCTTAAGATAATGACTTCACTAGTGTTTAGTGTGCTATAATGTTTAATAAAGGAAATTTAACAAGGGCTTCTTAAAAACCATATAACTTGAGGCAAATAAGAATTTTAAGTCATTTACACTTTAAAAAATATTTACTATAAACAAAAGAAAGTTGTTTTTTTAAAAAGCCCATCCAGATAAATTTTCCCGCCGCTAGCAATTTTTCATTTGATTAGTGTGGCAAAGGGAAGAAAGCTTCCTTGAAATAATACAGTAGCAGAAGTGAAAGTTATTGACATTTAATATTTTAAATCTAGCAAATATCTGAATACAAAAAGAAAATGAAAATCTTTTCATTGTCCTAGGTCAAGTTGTTAGTATACAGATAAATTAAGATGTTCAATTTTGTAAATCCTAAATCATACCTCGAATTACGTTTATTTTTAGGTAATTCAGCTGGAAGAGTTTAGTGTTCACATAATTTTAGACCTCTTAAAATAAAAATTTATTATTGTAATTATAAATATCTCTGATTAATAAAACATTGTTTAAAGAGAATTTTTACTCTTAGATCTATTTCAGTTAGAATAGAGAATCTTTTTTGACCTCAAAGTTAACCTTGACATGCATAATAAACACCATTAATTATGTTGTGTTCTTTATAGAATGTCAAATCAGGATCTGTGGGTAGAGAAAGGTGTTTGAATTTATTTTCTGCAGAGTTTCTGGTTTCAGAGAACCATTAAGCAAGACTTACCATTAAGTTTTGTTTATTCTTAAAAAAATCAGAGCAGTTTGGTATAACAATTCAGTGAGTTGTATTACTTTCTAAACCTACAAGTGCTTGGATTTGTAATATGTTATGAAATTCAAATAAAGTCATTACTGTAGATAGAATTGTGTTCTAAAAAAGGATAGTTCTGGAAGGATCTAAAACAGGGGAAAAGGACACTGTAATGTAAGCTGGAATGTAGGCATTTTCTTCTTAATTTTAGACAAATTAGCATTGTTTAAACTAAGTTTTAATTTTAGAATCCTAGATAATTGCATAATTTGGGAAAATATTTAAAAACCAGCATGTCTTTAAGTCTTTCTAAAAGACCCCCCAGAAAGAAAAGGTATATAAATGCAAAGATGAACAGCTTAGATTTTTTTCCCTCTTAAGTGAGAGATTTAGTTTGTGTGGTGTTACAGTTTCCATATTATTTTCATATCAAATGATTTCATTGGGTGTCCATAATTATCCTGTGAGTTAAAGAGGGAGAGAAAAGGGAACTAACATTTCTTTGAATGTTTTGTTCTAGGTATTGTGTATTTTTTTTACTTGTTTAGTGTAACAGTACTATGAAACCTGTTTTGTAAATGATGAATTTTGACTCAGAGATTAAGTAATTTGCTAAAGATCATAGAGTTCAAAGATTCAAAGCAGCTCTGTGCTCCTGCTATTAAACAGACCATGTTGCCTCTCTGATATATCAAGTATTCTCTTAATTTTATAGGAGAAACTGCTTAAGGTGGCTCATTTATTCATCATTTAGTCATTCATTTCATCACATATTTGCATTTCATTTGTACTCCATGTTAGGTGCAGTTAGATTTTAGAGGTAAAGAATTATTGAAGACAGTCTCTCAGGGAACTCAGTCTCTGTATAGTACATGTAAATTACAACGTTGTAGATCAACAGTATTCAACCTTTTTCATCTTATGGAACATATAAGCTAATTACCAAAATTCTGTGGTACAACAAAAATATTTTTTGTCAGTCTGACAAAAATAGGTATAATTTTGATTAATTCACATCAGATGGCTATTGTTGTATTGTTATTTTTTTATTTTGTAATCTAGGGGAAAAGAGGTCCATGCCCCTGACTAAATAGTGAGGTATTGCAGGTTTTTTGTTTTTGTTTTTGAAGATTTTACTTATTTTAGAGAGAAGGAGAGGGAGGGGGAAAGGGAGGGAGAGAAACGTTGATGTGAGAAAAACATCCATGGGTTACCTCTCACATGCACCCCAACCTGGGGCTAGGCCTGCAACCCAGGCACGTGCCCTGACCAGGAATCAAACTGGTGACCTTTCCCTTTGTGGGAGATGCCCAACAAACTAAGCCACACTGGCCAGGGCAAGTATTGCATGTTTTAAAAATTCTTGAGGTACACAAATGTGTCTGCTGTCACTCACTGGTCGATGCCCTAAATTATGGGAATTCAGAGGGAAGAAGCTGCCTTTTGAAGAATGGATAGGAGTTTGCTAGGTAGAGAAGGGGATAGACTGTAGGTTGTTCCCAGTGGTAAGAAATAAAACACAAAGGCCCTGGCTGGTGTAGCTCAGTGGATTGAGTGTGGGCCTGTGACCCATACGATCGCGGTTCGATTCCCAGTCAGGGCACATGCCTGGGTTGCAGGCCGGTTCCCTGCAGGCCAGTTCCCAGCAGGGGATGCACAAAACGCAACCATACATTGATGCTTCTCTCCCTCTCTCCTTCCCCCCTTCCCCTCTAAAGATAAATAAATAAAGTCTTAAAAAAAAAGAAATAAAACACAAAGATAAGTTGTGTTGGGGCTTGTTGTGTAGGAAAAAGGGAAAAATTCAGTGTGTTAGGAATTGAAGATTTATGGATAGAGCAGTGAGAGAAATGGTTTGAGGTAACATTGTGAGAGTTACTGTGTATGTTAAATTAAGGAATTTGGCTTTTTATCTTGTAAATTGAGATCACCAAGTAAGATAGATAGTGGTTGAGCTGTGATCAGAGGTCTGTATTCTGACTCCTACTTTAGTATTTCTTTCTCTTTGTTTTCTTAACCAACAAGATTTTACCTGTTTTCAGTGGATAGTCAGGCCATCTTTTCCATGCCACTCTCCTCTCTTTTTTGTATTCCAGACTGGTTTTCTTTGAGAATTCTGCCATCCAAATCTCTTTGTGTAAGGACTTTAAATATATTAGAAGGTTCTTTTCAGATAAAAATACCTTTGGGATAAATCACCTTGTTGTCATTACTCAGGAAGTTTTTTCTCTCCTTGACCTTGGTATACTTTCTAGTATAACATTAGAAAGCAATAGGATAAGGCATTGGGGAGTGTGGGCTGGAAAGGAGAAACATTCATGCATGCTCAGTGTTCTTCAGGAAACTTGAGGGAGGTCCTGATCTTTACACAAAGTAACCTGTACTTTCAGAAAGAAATAGGTATGTTTGTAAGCACACAGTAATTTGGTAGTTTTAAATGGGTATTTGATTTACAATGCCAATAGATAATTTTCTGCATAGTTACTCTATGATCATTTCTTTCTAAAGATCTTAGAAGCATTAGGTCAGTCCTCAACAACTCTCTTTATGTTATCATCGATAGGTAAGGAAAGTAGGTGCAGAAGGGTTAATTAAGTACCTTGGACAAGATCTAAAAGCTGGGTTGGTGCAGAGTTAGGATTTGAACTTCAGGTGTCTGAGTCTAGAATAAGAACTCTTAACTATTATACTCTGTTGCATCTCAATTTTAGGTTGTCAAACCTTAGTGTGCAGAGGGTATTAAATTCAGTATAATCACATAGATTGTCAAAAATATTTTGTAAGAACCTAAAGTATGACTTGTGAATAATAGTTAAATCTGATTGCACTTTGTCTGAGCTATATACTG